TTAGAAAATCCGCAATTAGTGATGATCATTAGTAACCCTGACTATATAATTTTAATAGGCCGTTGCACACCCTAACTTTTCGTGTCAGAATAAACAAAAAAAGATCTACAATCAGACCTCCTTAAATGTATAGTCGAGGGGCCTATATTAAAAAAATCAAAAAATCTTGCATTTAGGAAATTAAAAATCCATATGTATTATATGAGTTAGGCCAGAAAATACCATGCATCTACGTAGAAGGTTTTCATAGACTATGCATTTAGGGAGGGAGGTTACATTTAGGGAGATTGCATTTAGGGAGGTTGAATTTAGGGAGGTTACATTTAGGGAGATTGCATTTAGGGAGGTTGAATTTAGGGAGGTTGAATTTAGGGAAGTTAAATTTAGGAGGCCTGACTGCATTACGTACGTACGTATTGTCAAAATTGTAGATCATTTCTTTGACATAAGGACAAAAAATATATCAATAAATAAATCGATGTAAATTGATAACGCAGAATAAAATGGTAAATTAAATATTACACAAATGCATTCAGATACTGAACTATAATTAATTTTTAACATAAGCCGCAAAAATGCCGCAATTCAATAATTTTTGATGTAAACTATACGCTAGGCCGAAGATCAATTAACGCTAAGTATAAACTTTTAAAAAAATGTTTATTTTTTTATCTAAATATACAATAAACTTTATTACAATTAGATTTACCGTATAACTAAGGTAGTAGTTGCTATTTCGTTCATGTGACTAACTCAAAATTATTGCTCCTAAAGAGTCATTCGGGTCGGGTTTGGGGTTGAACCAAAATTTGTTCGGACAAACTCGGGTTTGTTTAACGCTAATAGAAAGACTACATTTCAATATTATTGTTTGTAATTCAAACTAATTATATTAATTGCATCATTTATTATTAATTTAACTAATCATATTAATTACATCATTTATTATTAATTTAACTAATCATACGATATTTAACTATCATTGATTTTGACATACTTTTCATGCACATTATACTTTCACTATTGATTGCCCGTGATTTAATCACTTGGGGTCATGTGATAAATTTTCGGGTTTTATGTTCTGGGGTCGATTACCCGGGTTTGGGTTTACTGACCCCTTTCGGAGCACTACTCAAAATAATAATTATAGTGTAATTTCGATTTGCACTAACACTAATTTCCGCAAGTGTTTGTTTGGTAAAATCAATCACCATTACCGATGATGATAACGCTAATACATATCCGTTTATCACAAATACTGTATTGTATCTACGTGAGAATAACGTACATTATTTATTGTAGTATTAAATTTGCATCGTGGTCGTGCTACAAATAACAGTGCGCGATTTCTTTAAAACTCTGAAGACAAGAGCTTTTTTAGTTTTGTTCTTTTTCAATAAACTTATTTCTGAAGAACTTTTTTTTAAATAAACTTAAATAAAACTCGGCATAATGAAATTCTTTTTACTTGTTCTTATTATCTTTTACATCCTAAATACTGTTCATTGCAAAAATGCAAACATGGCTGTAGCTTGCTTCACTGGAGAATACCATGGAATTAAAGGACTCATTACCTTTACTAAAAAAGGTCGTGGAGTCCAAGTTAATGTTGATATTAGGTCTGGCTTGGACGATACTACTGGAAAGTACCCTTATCATATTCATCAATTTGCAATAAATTCTACTGGTTCCTGTGCTTCAACGGGTGGTCACTTTGATCCTGCTGGTAATAAAATAAAATTTAATAAATTTCTGTATAAAATTGGTTTTTTTTCGATAAAACGAATTCTTATTTAAATTGTTCTGTTCCGTTTTCATTAGGTGTTGGCGTATCAGGATACGTATGCGATCCCAATGTACCTGAAAAATGTGAAGTTGGTGATTTAAGTGGTAATATATTTTAAATTATTAATATTTTTTGAATTGACAAGTATTAATTTTATATAACTTTGGGTAGGTAAATATGGTGGCCTTAAAGGCTCACCAAGGGGTTGTGCTAAAGCAACGTATATCGACAAGTTCATTGCTTTGAAAGATAGCAGTAAAGCTAAAAATGGAATAATTGGTCGCTCCATTGTTATTCACGCTCCTAATTCGCGTATGATATTCATTTCTTAAAATATTAGATATCATTAAAAATAGTTGTTAAAATAATTAATTTTTTTTTTTTTAATAGCTGCTCCTGCACCAAGAATTGCTTGTGCTAATATTGTCGCAAAATAACAATTAATTATGATAAATGCTTAAAACTTCTTTATGTATTTTAATACTTTTATTATCTAATTGCGTGTTCTAAGTGCTCGTACTTTATTAATATCTTTAGTTAATAGATCTTTTATTTCCCTACCTATATCATATATTATATATTATTCCCATTAGATGTATTAGCTATATCATTTCTTATATCAAATGATCATAATCGAAAATAGTCCCGATGTCCTGATATTCCTCTGGGAATCAATAGTTTTTTTTGCACATACTAGTCAGTAAAGTAAATTCGTGTCTTTTATACGAAATTAACTCTCAAATCATTGAGAATTTTAATGATCTCTGCCTTTTTAATAACTTGCTCAAATTACATTAATTGAATTGATTACACTTAATAATGACTAATTCGTCGGTTCTTTTGTAATTGCAAATAATGTATAACGATAACTACTACAAACATAGCATATGCATACAGTTATTTCAATTGTATATAATATTAATATCCACAAAAACAGTAGTTAAGGTGTAACAGTGGTGTGTAACATTAGTAATAATAATATCCTGGCTTATCGGGGATTAGTGAGTTTTTCCTAGGTTGTGTTAACAATAATCCGTACTGC